AATGTGGTCACCTGTTTAAGGGAGGTAGGGGGTAATTGGCAGGGGGATGTGCCAATCTAAATTATGTAGGGATATGGTTAGTTGACAAGCAAATATGCAAATCTAATTTGAGAATAGAATGTTTATAGGCATTAAAATGTGACAAAATGTAAATTTCAAATTGGTTATAATAGGCAGACTGGAAAACTCGACTATGCTTCTAATTTAGTTACTTTGTCCTTCAATTTGAAATTCACTTTAAATTATTAGTTTAGAGAATATATATTGGTATACATGGTAAATACATGTTTGGATGACAGGTCCACTGTAATCTGAGTATATTTACTGAACTAGTATTTTCTTTCTCAGTACATTTTTTATTATTTAACTTTTTATTCACCACTTCCTTTGTATAAAAACGTGAACTACAATTATAAAAACTGGTTAGTGCCAGCAGTGTCAGATGAAAACCAAATGTAAAATCTATGTTAAAATATGCCTCATCAGTTCAGTAGGTATTTCATTAGATTGACTGAAACCTTTGGGTTTGTCATATGTTCTAACAAAAATTGTTTTGTTATGTAGTTTTTTTTTAATAATATTTTTCCCCGTGATAGATTGTATTTTATCACTTGTGAAATGCATGCTTTGTTTCTCAGATATCCTGTAGTTGCCCAACTGTCTGCTCACATTCTAGGCACACACCTCTCTGTCTACTGTCTATTCCCCGTCTACTCTCGAGCTCTTGACTCCTATTTTTAAGCCAGAGCGTGTTTCTACGTCCAAGTGGTAACCTTATATTGTATCAAACAACTGTGTACTTGTTAGGACTGGAAAAAGAAATCCGCTAAAACCTTTGAAAGAAAGGTTTTTATTCACCTTATCATGTTTGTAGGAAAATTTACGAGGCATTCTCTTGACGTTAATGCAGCTTTATCAATAGAGAAGCATAATTTAAAAAAAATGTAAGCTATTGTCCTCAATTTTTATTATTTAATATAGAGCTGCGGTTTAGGTCTTTGTTCCATGGGCCACAAAATAATCGCAAGAAAGAGACCTCCACGCACAGCTTTGTTGTAAATGGTGGTTTATAGTAGTACATCAGTTATAATTTCTCCAGATAACCACAAATGAGGGTCAATTTCTTATCAACAAATGTTGTACATCAAGCATGTCAAACTCAAAGTCTAGAATGGGCCACATAAACAAGGTTTAAGTTTATGTGGGACGCAAAAAACCCAAAACCTTACATTTTCATAGAAACAGTATAAAAAAAGAAAAAAACCCAGGCCCCCCTCTACTAAATCCCAGTACCCCCTCTAGCCAACAAGCAGACTCCACTCACATTGCCGCTGCCAGTATGCGACTCCGGAGTCCAGCTTCTGGTATAACACCAATGGCGATGTCCGCACCCTGTGCCAAATTTAAACCTCTCACTACTTCTTGAAACCCTGTGAAGGTGGAGTACGTTGATGTCATGTCTGAATGTGACGTGTTGTTGCGTGTCTCCATGCACCTCCAGGTACTCCACTGTCCACTCGTAGCCAATGCAACACTGACCAACACACACACACACTCACTGACAGACGCACACTCACTGACAGACGCGCACACCCATTTACACATTCTTGCACTCACATCATTTTATTTATTGCTCGTTTATATACTAGTTTATATGCCTTCAAATATGTTTTCACTTGTGGTGTTGTATGTATCTATATTAAAAGAATACTATAGTATCAGGAATACAAACATGTATTGCTAGCACTATTGTGCTGGAATACATGATTAGGTCCCTGGCCTCCTTCTCTGTGTAGATAAAATCTTATTTTACTTTCCTTTTCTCCACTGCCATGCTGATCTCAACGATTTCAGCCAATCCAGTGATTTGCCATAGGAGAGCAATGAAAGGAATTGTGCATGTGTGGCAAAACGCAAATCAGAATCTCCTCATAGAAATGCATTGAATCACACTGTGCAGCACTGGACCAGGAAGCACCTGTCTGATTGATGGCCATTAGAGGTGTTACTAGCCAGCAATTTAAACACTTTATTTTCTCTGTTCTAAGTGCCAAGTCAGTGCTGAGGGACACTGCAGGGACATGTTATAGACATCAGAACCAGTACATTAAGGGTCGTGGTGACTATATTGTCACTTTAACACTTGGCAAACACTTGCTACAATTTAGATTTAATATATGAACGCTATAGTAGTTACACTTTGTTTAACCCCTTAAGGACACATGACATGTGTGACATGTCATGATTCCCTTTTATTCTAGAAGTTTGGTCCTTAAAGGGTATATATATATATATATATATATATATATATATATATATATATATATATATATATATATATATATATATATATATATATAAAATTTTTATATTTTCATTTTTTCATTTTGAGACTTCGAGTTCTTCCATTAGTCGGATAGAATCCATTCCCTAACAGAGGGGGCTGCGGAATGTTTCCACTTTAGTGGGATTAATAAATTTGCAGCTGTGATCATATGATTTACCAGGCTTTGCTGTGCCTTTGGGAAAAAGCGAGTGTGTAGGAGAAATAGCAGCAATTCTGGTGTGTGTGGGATGTGATCATGACTCCTATTCTCTTCCAGTAGGCTTGGGTAATTGGGCATAGCCACCAAATGTGTGCTGGCGTGCCCTTGGGCTGGTCGCACCTCAGGCACACATCCGGTATTGTAGGGAATAGTGCATGGATTTTGGTGGGGGAGTAGTGCCATCTGGGAATCCTTTTTATGTGAGCTTTCCTGAGTATTAGTACTTATAGATGAGGCATGTGTATATCTAAAAAAAAAAATTGACATTCCATAGGGGAGAGTGTTATATTCAATTCCTGGGCCCAGGAGGTCGTGAATGTGGGTAGTTGTTCTTTGTTTGCGTCTTGAAGAAGTTGGTATAGGCTGGACAAGTGCTTGGTTTTATCTGTGTGGGTGGTGCAGGAGGTTTTGAACTTTGAGTGTGTGCATGTGCTTTGTATCAGATTCGATTCATTCTGCACGAAATGAGCCAATTGTATGTAGCGGAAATGCTGGTATTGGTAGGACGGTCCGTTCTGGCGAGTGTAGTTAGGGGTGTAATCGCTGTTCGTGTTATGGAGCTGATCATGGGGATTCTTGAGTTGGGGGAAATGATTGGAAGAAGTGTCGTTGGAGGCCTGGGAGGAAGTTGGGATTATGTGCAAGTGGGGAAGGGTGTGGAGAAACGTCTGGAAGGTTCCTAATCCTTGACCAAATTCGTAGTGTGGGATGATCGTAGGATGTTGGGAATGTTGTGGCAGAAGGAGTGTGTGTCCTTTTTGGTGTCATGGGATGGTAAACAAAGGTGACTGGAACATGGAGTTCTCTATGTATACCCATTGTTTAAGTGGTGGATTGGCCGTCCACTCATAGATTCTAGTCCGTGTTATTGCTCTGTGGTACGTTTCCATGTGCGAAGACCGAATACTCCTTGGTTTTTATCAAAAGATCATCTATATACCTCCGCCATAGTACTTGGTTTTTATGTCTGGTTAGGACCGCATATGCTATTCTGGGGTGCTTGTTGGCCCAGATAAAGGAAGTGAAGAGGTGTTTGAGCTTGGAGCAGAACAATGGGGGTATGTCAACTGGGAGGGTTTATAATTGTTATAATTTAGGTAGTGTGTTCATCTTAGTTATGTTGGTTCTACATAGTCAGCTTTTGCCATCTTGTGAGATCTTTGGAGATCTCTTCTAGGAGTGGCAAAAAGTTTAGGCTGTATGTTTGTTTAAGATTTATGGGTAAGTAGACTCCTAGGTATGTGATGTCCTGTGTAGCCCGTGCAAATGGGTAAGAGGATTTGAGGTATGTTCGTGTGTGTTTATCAATTTGGAGGGCTAGAATTTCACTTTTGGTGTGATTGACCTGAAATTTGGAGATTTTGCTCTATGTGGCTATTTCTTCGAGCAGTGGAGGCAAAGAGGTGGCCGGAGCAGTAATAGTGAATAGTGCTGTGTGTGGGGGAAAGAGTTATGTGTGTGTGTGGGGGGGAGAGGAATGCTGTGTGGGGAAAGGGGGTGCTGCAGGTAGCAAATGTGTTGTTTTTTTTTTTTTTTTATAATCCTGACATATACATAAAATCTTTATTCCCTCCTCAGATATTGTACAGATATTATTATTATTATTACTATTACTATTATTATTATTATTATTGGTATTTATATAGCGCCAACTAATTCCACAGTGCTTTACAATATTATGAAAAAGGGGGTATTTATAGTAAATGAGACAATTACACAGTGACATAGGAACAATAGGTAGACTGTAAGCTCAAACAGCTTACACGTCCGAGGAGGTGGGGTACAAATACACAACATTGGAGGAGCCTGGCTGCCCGCTTGCTGCCTTTAGACTATGGCCCCATGTTGAAACACGAAAACCGGGTCATTCGGTACTTGCCCTATTTGAACAGTGATACCCCAGATAGCTAGGCCATGGAGCCCATTCGTATAACGAAAGACTATGTGAAAGACTTTGGCTCCATGGCAATTGAACTGTATGTATGTGATCTGAGGACCATTCAGTAATAATGTGCGCTCAGATCTAAGCTGTCTGGGGATATGTTGAATGTACCTGTTTTATGCAATAGCTGCACAGTTATATATTTGTATGTATTTTATTGTCTTTTGCTACCATGTGCTCAATGGAGTTTTGCCTCTGTCCTTGGAGATAATTGGATTACTTCCCAATTATCTCCAGAATAGAAGACTCTGTGGAACTGGTTTTGGGCAGAAAAGCCATGCTTCATTTGGTCACAAAGGACTTCTAACTATTTTTTGAACAACTGGACCAATTTGGATGATTTTGACATATGTTTGTATTTGGAGTATGCTGATTCTGAAAATGTAAGTGAATGGGATGTATACTTTTAAAGTTATGAATAATGTGGAAAAACTGTATTTCTCTACCTGTGATAATTACATTAACCCATAGGCGTGCGCAGCCTATTGTATAAGGGTGTACACCCTAAAGCAGAAACACACACGCCGCGGTGTGTGTGTATATATATATATATATATATTTATATATATATATATATATATATATATATATATATATATATACACACATACATACACACACACATACTGCTGTGTGTGAGGGTGATTTGTGTAGGTGCTGTGTGTGAAGGCGCTTGTGTGTGTGCGGGCGCTGTGTGTGTATGTGTAAGGGTGCTGTGTGTAAGGGTGCTGTTAGTGTGTATAAGGGTGCTGTGTGTGTAAGGGTGATGTTAGTGTGTACTGTGTGTGTGTAAGGGTGCTGTTAGTGTGTATATGTGTAAGGGTGCTGTTAGTGTGTGCTGTGTGTGTGTATGTGTGAGGTTGTGGTGTGTGTAAGGGTGTTAGTGTGAGGGTGCTGTTGGTGTGTGTATAAGGGTGTTGTTAGTGTGAGGGTGCTGTGTGAGGGTGCTTTTAGTGTGTGTGTGTGAGGGTGCTTTTAGTGTGTGTGTGTTGTTAGTGTAAGGGTGATGTGTGTGTGTGTGTGTGTGTAATGTGTGGGGTGTGGGGGCCGTTTAGTTAATATCCCCCATCCCTTCTTACCTTATGTAGGGAGGAGGGACCGTGCTGCTGCCATCTCTGGTGGTCCAGTGGAGAGTGAACTCTCGCGAGATCTGAGCGTTGCTGCGGTAACCGCGGCAACGCTCCGACCTCACGAGAGGAACCTGGCGAAGCTGCTGGCAGGAGCTCCCCGAGTCCTCTCCTGCCTCCCTCCTTGCCTGTGGTTAGGTGAGGGAGATCCTAGATCTCCCTCACCTCCCCAAGGAGGGAGGCACATAGCCAGTGCCGCGGGGATTAGGGTGTGCCTAGACACACCCGGCACACCCCGTGCGCACGCCTATGCATTAACCCATTGTGTAAGGTAATTGTATCACAGGCAGAGGGGAGGATTTTGTGTAGGAGTGTCTGAGTGTATTGTACGTGTTTATTGGTTGTTTTACAAAACCCTGTGGGTGGTACTAATGTGTAAGAATGTGTATATAAGAACAATAAACCCACAGCTCTGTCTGTTCCTGCTTGACCCTCAAAACGGAGCCTTGTCTTGTTATTGGGGGGATTTATTGTATGCTGTTCCAATTTGACTGCTAGGAGTGTAAACCTATTCGTGGGGTTTTTCCTATTCGGCTGTTTTCAGCATTCGTATGGTTCCGGTTCAGCTGTTTACGGCATTCATATGGTTTCCTGTTTGGCAGATTGGTGTCTTTGGTAGATGCCTGTGTATCTGGAAGGGGAAAATCCTCTAAAAGGCGTTTAACCCCTTTTATGCCCCGGGGTGCCGTTACAGGCAGCAAGGGTGGCAGCCACCAAACAAGTTGAAAAAGTAGCAGAACTGGAGATGAGAGTGGAGTGTGATTCTTTAGGAGAGCAAGAGACAGATATGGATAGGTATAGATAAGTTACTCTGGGAGTCCACAAGCATTTCGGAACAGATGTGTTTTGAGGGATTTTTTTTTTTAAACTGAAGACTAGCGGAGAGTCTGATGAGGTATGCAAGCTGTTTCAAAGGAAGGGAGCAGTCCGCGAGAAGTCCTGCAAGCGCGAGTTAGCTGTAAGGGTTCTGAATACATACACACATATAGATACAGACACAAATACTTACATAGATAGACATACTGGCACATAATCTTACAGTAACACAAACACGTATAGGCAAACAGTCATACAGGCACACAATCATGCAGAGACACGCACACATTCATATTCACTAAGACATGCAGGCCCACTGTTCTACAGGTACAGAGTCATACAGGCACAGTAATGTAGACACAGGTATTCAGTTACAAATATATCCAGGCATTGGCACACAATCATACAAGCAGACACAAGCACATTGGCATACAGACATACAGGGACACAATCAGACACTGAAATACAGGTGCAAAACATACTGGCCGATAGTCATACAGGCATATGCGTAGAGGCAGTCATTCATACAGTCATACACTCAAAGATTCATATTGCACTTGCTCCTGTCCTTTTATTTGAAGTCACCACTTGGATTGTGAAGAATAGATGGATGGGCCAGAAGAGCCTTGGACCACGATTGAGGTCCAAACGCCCACTCAGTCACTGCTACTGATTCGTGAGCTCCAAGTCAGCTCTCTGAGATTGACTGGTAGATAGCATTTGACCACCCCAGCTTTAAAACTTCAAAGTTTGTGGAGAAAAAAACAGTTCTACATAAAAAAACATCTAGTCCAATAATTAAAATGAAAAAAAAAAAGTCTCCAAACCTTTGCTGTGGAGAATATAGAGTTTTTTCCTCTTTTGATAAATGCACTGCTTAGCATTAATTACTATTATAACTATAACAAAAATGTTGCTTCAAGATGTGCATATATCTTGAACACTATAGTAGGGCCAGTAAAACAAACGTGTATTCCTGACCCTATATTGTTTAAACCACCATTGAGGTGGCTTGCCCCCCTTATTTCAAGGGCTGAGCTAGCGCTGCCCCCCGATTCGCCTCCTTTGCTGATAATTTCAACCAATCCAGTGCTTTTCCGTAGGTAAAGCATTGGATTGGCTGAGATTGTCAAGGGTCGAGTAGGGGCGGGACCCCAGTTGGCCAATTAAATCTCATTATAAAGATGCATCGAATCAAACTGTAAGTGTCCCTACAGAACAATGTAAATACAGCCTTTTCTCTGAAAAGACAGTGTTTACAGCAAAATGCCTGCCGAACATACTAAGCTCATCAGAACAAATACACTAAGCTGTAGTTGTTTTGGTGACTATAGTGTCTCTTTAACTCTTTTTATGCAGTTTCTTGTCAAAACTTTTGAACATGTTTGCAGTTAGCACTGAATGTTGATGTTATTCATATGGGGGCAGTAGACATTGTAGGTTGTATCTAAAAGATTTACTGGCACTCACCATTGCCTACAAATTCCATTGGTAGGCTCAGTTTTCAATTTGGCTGCTTAGTAAGTTGTTTGAAGGAAACAAAATGAATAGCAACAAAGTTAGACTATTGCATTGGTAGCACTTCATGGGAAGTGACCTCTAAGCGGATTGTACAATTTCCATTCTGGCATTCAGATACTGAAATTAAGCACACATCCGTCGAAGATATGGTGGTCCATGCATTCTCCACATTTGTGACCCTATTTTTGAACATGTGGATATATTATTTCAAGTTAAAGTCTTAGAAATATGATGGCAGCTTGAATTGGACCACATTTTTTCACAATTGGGGAACAAGATTTACGACTCAATTTGCAGCAGATTTGTCCAGGCACAGATTCAAAAACTGCTCATAGGAAATAATTTATACTCTCCTGCTGTCTCCTGTAAAGTTTCCCATCATGCCAGTGCGTATATTCTGATATAACATCAAATTCCAAGTGGTTTATGATACAATTTTTTTTTGAGCTGGCAACCAAATTCAAAATTGAGTTAAATATATCTGAATTAGAAAACTGAATCTAGCTCCTCTGAATGTTAGTAGTCACCACTTTGTCTAGTGCAGTCATTCTTAAAATCTAGGTTGTGACCCAAAATTAGGTTATGTTATTGCATTAAATCCCCTGTAGTTTGCACTAGTTAATTGTACATATTATCCTGTAACAATACAGTATGTGGGGCTACTTGTTAAAATTAATGGATATACGGTTTGTTCAAGACACCCTACAACTCATCTTTATGCATTAATGTAAAAACAAGGAAAAATAAGTCCAAGCAATGATTTGTAGGTGTGAAATTCAAGATTTTGGGGTACAAATTGCCATTTTGTTTTGTTTTGTTTATGTTTATACAGCAGTATGTATATAGTTAAAGAATCGTTTAAAAAATAAATTGAGTTTGTTGTATTTTGCTTTTTTAATTTTAACATACTTACTTTTGGCAAAATTACAAAAATGTGGCGCTTGTTCTATAATTATCTGAGGTTTTCAAACCTTCCATTCATGCAGCGACTGTGGTGCTTGTCATAAACCGTACAAAGTGCTTATATAGTAGGAAAATGTTTATGAACTTTCCATATATTAGAAGGAAAGTTTTCTCCTAATATGTAAATAATAGTCATGTATTTTGGCACATATGGAGCTATATTTATGTTAGAATTGATATTGCTGCTATATGCAATTTACACATCTTTCAATAACACAAATGTATTTTGCAAACATTAGCAGGTCTTTATGCATACATTTTAAGGTGACAAATAGTGTAGATCATTGTTAGCAGTGTAATAACAAAATATTATATTGTAGCAAAATCTTATGTTTTGATTACTTATTAAACATTTTAATCTGTATTGAAATATAAACCGAGCTTTAAGAACTAATTGGGAGATCTCTCTCTCTTTTTACTTTGAAATATTATTTTACTTAAATATTAACCCAAGAAAATGAATAAAGAATTCAAGAATTATCTGTAACCTGCATAAAAAACTGGGCAGCTCATATTGGAGAGTTTTTCTTGTTGGGTTTCAGTTGCTTATTTACTGCAGTGTACAAATTGAAGACAGTATTAGTTACATAAAATAAGATTTTTTTTTTTTTTTTAAATAAATTGTAATGGAAATAAAATGAAATGTTTATATACCTGGAGAGAATATACAGTGTACTGAAAAGAATACCTTTCCTATAATGTTCATATTACAAATACATACTACTAATATACTGATATATTCATATATCAAACCTTATTTATCAAATGCGGTTTTGTCATTAAATTTAAAATGATATGGCAATAATAGAATCTTACACATGTTCTGAGAAATGACTGGTATGTAACATACATGGACGCTTACCTTGGCTTTTTGCATTAAATGGCACAAATGGCACTGGTGGTCCTTTCATGCTGGGTTGCTTTGCATATCTTTCAGGGTAATTCCCAGATGTGTAAACAAAGTTTGGAGAAACCAGAAGCAGGAGTATACTTGCTTGTAAATGCATATTTCCGAGCCTTTTCTGCAGAGAAAATAAAATATTATTTCACTGAAATTCTTCTTTCTAACTTCAGATTAGAAATCACTTTTAGTGTAAAGTTATAGTGTTTTTCCGTTCCGTGTTCCGAAGCATGTCTTTGTTTTGACTTTCAAAATGTTCTAGGTCATGCAAGTAGAAGTGCTTGTCTGTTCTTGTGGAGATGTTCAGTCAATTCAG